GAGTCGGTTTTTGGCAAAATTACCAGATTTTCACCGCTCATTATCTCATCGTAGGGACATGCGGTTTGTTTTATATTAACAAGGTAGGACAGCTAATCAATAATACAGCATTTCACCGTTGTACGCTCTCCTTCTTTATACAATAATGTAACACAACAAGAGTAGGGTACTACCTACTCTTGTTGTGTTACATTATTGTATCTACTACTACTACTGCTACTACTACAGTACTACTACTACTACTACTGCTGCTACTACTACTACTACTACTACTACTACTACTACTACTACTACTACTGCTACTACTACTACTACTACTACTACTACTACTATTACTACTACTACTACTACTACTACTACTACTACTACTACTACTACTACTACTAATAATAATAATAATAATAATAATAATGATGATGACCTCTAGCTCTATACCTACGCACTTGTATTGGTTACTTAACACCTACGAAACCTGTTACAGTAATGCGAAATTCTTCCATGCAGACATATCAAGGTGACACGAGACAGGCAGCATATAGTTATTATTATATGCAGGTCTTGGCTGTAGACGAAGCAGTTAATGTCATGGAGACATTGTAACGTGAATTATTATTTCTGCGTACGTTTCAGTTCAATCTGTGTCCTCCGCAATACATCGCTATATATCTCTACGATTGCCGCCCCGCCTGACGTTACTAACACGAGCATCATGCAAATTGGCCCAACTTCTATAAGCTTTTCACGCAACGACCAATAAATGATCGCGGTGATTCGCAACGATTGCCTAATTACCGTCTCCAATTAGTGAATTGATACGCCAACGAAGTCACGACAAAGACAGACAACTTAGGCCAGCTTCGTTACGGAAAGTGACCTTTCGTGTGTAAAATCGCTCACGTTACCATCTTGTTCATGCAAATGTACGCTATTCGCGTGCAGGTGCTAATAATATAGACGACAACAACAACAGGGCGGGTAATTAGAGTGCTCCGAACCCCCTTCATCTCTGCTCTACCGCCGCCCCCACAAAGGCGAACGCATCACAAGACGTCCATACAACCCTGACCGAGCACGGGTCTCATATTTGACCCGTCGAAAGACGTGACATACCTGAGCAGAACCGAGAGAAATTCCGTTCCTAATCACTTCAGGGTCGCGCCGCTTTATGGGACTATGCCTCTACTTCAATGTTTCCGCGCGAAAGAGAGTCAGTGAGAGAGAGAGAGAGAGCGAGAGAGAAAGAGAGAGCGAGAGAAGAGAGAGAGAGAGAGAGAGAGAGAGAGAGAGAAAGATAGAGAAAGAGAAAGGGAAAGCGCTAGGGAGAGAGCGCGCGCGAGAGAGAGAGAGAACAAAAGAGGGAGCGAGGAAGGGAGGCCGGAAGAGAGAGAGCGCGCGCGAACGAGAGCGAAAGAGAGCGCGAGCGAGGGAAAAATGTTCTTCTTAAGATTACATTTGCTTTTAATATAATATTCGCTTCACCAGTTTCTTCTCGTTTTCACTTACACGGTGAATGCTTTTTGTTCTCGGTATCCATAGTTATCGTGACAACGCTAAGATATGTTAACGGTGGGCTGCGAACGACCGATCGAAGGACACACCAGCTATCAAGCACCAACTATTAACGCTCCTCTATGCTGTATACGGGCGTGTGTTTTCGTATCTGTGACGCGTTGTGCGATATGATAGAGGGAACAAATCAAATGTAGCAACATCTGATCAGGAGTAGATAATAGGGTATATAGATGATAGGGTATATATGATAGGTATATATAATAGGGTATGATAGTTCCCTATTATCTACTCCTGATGTGATGTGAAGGGCGGGTGCGTAGCGGGGTAAACGGTAGATATTCTAGATGACGCATAGTACGTGAATATTCAATTTAACAAAAACGCATCGGCAGTGACTATGTTCCGGTCTGACCGCATTCCTGCCAACTGGATGGATTAAGCATCCGACCGATCCATAATAGTGAATAGTTATAAAAGCGTATGAAAGATTACTAGTGGTTGGGCTGTGCTCAGGTCATCGTTCGTTGTATTCTCATTGACGCACGGATATTTTGGTTAAAGGGAAAATAAATCCTATGGTATTTCCCTGATATTCGTTCTATTGCGCTATTTGCTTTGGGATAAAACAACCAAGAATAAATGCGCTCATCGCAAGACACTCATACCGTTCCAATGTACTCCTTATTTATATGCGCAAGATGTTAATTAGGTAAACTTCCTCACTTTAGTTTCTATGCCACAGATATCTCATGAAGAGAAAAATATCTCATATATCTCATAAATACGTTATATATTAATTAATTAACGAGCAATGAGAAGTCTTTAACTGTCTAATCATATGTCAGTGAGTTCATCTAAAGGGTTGTTGCTAACAGTTTATGTGTGTAACGGAAAGCCAAGCGTTTATTAAGCTGTAGGAGAAATACGCTTTTAGGCATGCTAGCTACTTATTCAATCTTCTCATGACTAGCCACGACAGTAGAACGCTACTGATGATACATGACGTGTATATGACGGCAGTGAAGAATTTTAACGCGTTTGCAATAATCGAGAAATAGTACTTAGCGTATCAACTTTAACAGGCGGCCAAACTGATGGGATGGTACGATTCGATTGCTTTCAGCCATTGAACCGGGCTTTAGTTTAAACAAAAAATTCTAAAACTATTGGGCACTAAAAATATTAATCGCTGGTCAATGCAAATCGTATACTTTGACGCCGATGAATGCAAAATGCACACGAGCCTGACTGACATGGCTATAGAATGTAGTTGTCGCGCATAACAAATGTGTTATGCTTAGTCTTTGCGGTAAGTTATAGTACTTATATTAGGGAATATAAGCTAGCAGTGTGCATGCTGGCTATAGGCTGGGAAGGCTGGCATGGGGAGAGGTGCGTGTGCGCGTGCGACTAAACTGCTGTTTATCGCCTGTATGTAGGCAATCATTAATACAATGTCGTAATTAATATGTTCCCTTATAATTACTGCGATTTAATTTTTAATATTCAGCTACGGGTAGGTAGTGATATCCGGTGTAGGGCGTCGATACAGATTAAGTTGAAATCGTCGCGTGGGCAGATCTATAGATAGCACACTGGCAGCGAAACTTTTTGACAGGGACAACAATGACTGGCAAATGAACAGAACACACCTATAGATACAATACAAGGATAACTCCGTGTCCGCATGCCGGCACATTATAAGTGACACACGTTACGTTGCCTCATCACGCGCTATACGGTATGGAACATGACTTTGGCTAAAGTAATGTTAGAAGAGGCGACACACACACACGCGCGCGCACACATACACACACACACACACACACACACACACACACACACACACACACACACACACACACACACACACACACACACACACACACACACACACACACACACACACACACACACCACACACAATATATATATATATTTATTTATTAATTATAACATTCCTTGTACTTTTCAATAACCCTACAGTACATCAGTAATAAAGTAGTACACATTTTATACGTACGTACTACTTAATTACTACGTGCGTACGGACGGACGGACG